CGCATCTCACGCTCCATTCAGCTCTCCGCCCCTCCGGGGGGCCCGATTCGATCAAGCACGTAGGTTAGACCCCCTCCCCGCCCTGTTCCTCCACAACCCGGACTAATTGTGAGCCTCGGGCAAGAGTCGCGCGCTCTTTGAAGACGGGCATGGGGGGCCGTATCTCCCGCCTTCACTTTCGGAGGCTTTCATCTAATCCGAGGAGGAGGAAGGACGAGCCCGCGCAAGCGCTGGGCTCTCTCGCTCGCAGCAGCGACGGAAAAGGCTGCCCTCCTCTCGGCCCCGTCGAACCGCCTTCCCGTCGCTCATGGATGCGTGCGCCGGTGTGTTTAAACTCGGTTACTGTATTTCTAGAGGGTCGGGGAAGGATCTCCCCCAAAAGTCTACCCCTTTGGTTGGAGATGACTGTCGCCCACCAGCACGCCGCGCTCGCCAGCCGCCTGTGCCCGCTGCCTCTCGTGAGAGGGCGGCTGGACGGAGCCGCGCCCTCGCGCCGGGCTGCCCGGTCCTTCGCCTGCCGCTGAAGCTCCGCGGGGATGCTCTTCCTCACCGGTCTCCGCAGCGCCCTCTCTCGGACCGAACGGCCCATCACTTCCAACCGCGAGCCGAGGGAGGTCGAAGCGGGAGAGAGGAAGGGAAGGGGGCTCTATGCGTTGCTGGCATTTCGGGCCTCTGCTGTCTCGCGGAGGGGCTTCGACCGCTTAAGGTTGACGCTGATTAAAGGGAAAGTTGCAAGAAGAGAAAACGGTAGATTTCCCACCCTTTTTGTACGTGGATCAAGATGGGTATCGGTACAGGATATAGGAAATACAGTACTGGCTTGGGGTGCCAGCTGCCCTGCAAAACACAAGAGGAAAAATTCCAGTGTCCTGTTTTTGTTTCATTTCTCTGACTCCATTAAACCTCTCTTCCTATTAAGGCTGATTCTGGCAGGTGGGTGTGCGTTGCACTTCCAGTTGATCTCTGTTGGTTTCCCTTTAATCAGCATCATCCCTAAGCAACTGAAATCTCCTATTATATTTTTAAAAATATTTTAAAAATTGCTTTTCTATTTAAAAAACCACTCAGTACAGTTTTAATGTTACAAATAATAACTGAAATTTGGTAAAGGCCAAAAATTTGATTCTATTCATTCGGAAGAGCAATTAGTTCAGAATGCTACTGTCAATACTGATCATGGCAAGATCCTTCTAAAGTTGAATGCCAATTCTTCAGCAACTTCACTGGCTTTAAGTTTATTTCTGAACTCGATTTTGAGTTCTTGCAAGCCCCATGTGGCCTGAACCTGCAATACATGCATCAGAACAGAGGCCCTTCCAATCCAGGATTTTGTGGTTTAGGCATACTCTGCCTACTATCAGCTGAATGCATTTGAGAAGCTCACTGGAAAGCAGTAGTCTCCTTGCACTGTTATTTCCTAATATAACCAGGACTCATGGTATGCTGGCTACGATTCAAGAGATACTGTAGTAAACAGCCATCAGTTTTAATAGCCTTAGACAGCCAGATCCTTTAAGAGGTTGTCCAGTACCCTTTTGAAGCATCCAGATTGACTTCCATTACCACAACTGCTCACAGAGAATTCTGCAACTGGAATTCTGCAGTGCGTTTTCATTGGCTGCTTGGAGTTACTTGAATGTACTATGTGTGATCTCCAGTAGAGACCCATCCATGACATTTGGGATATCCTCACCATCAGAGGTGTGAAGAATGGCTGTTCTGGACAGACCTGCTCACTTTTAACAACATTGGAGGATAAACCTCTCAAGAAGGTGTGTTGGAATTCAGCACATTTCTTTCCTAGCTGATGTGGACTTTTATGATGGTCCCCAAATGCTAACCTTACTAAGGGGCCCTGAGACTGCATGACACACTATTAAGTCTATTTATAGTTTCCACATATGAATATTTTATTGCTGTATTGTTATTTTAGAATATCGTTTGATAATTCCATAATGGATTGTACTTTAAATGTCATTAAAACACTTTGGGATTTCTGGAATCAGAGAGGGAAGCATAAATGTTGCATTAAAAGACATGGTAGAAAAAAGTGGAAGGGGCTCACAACAATGTCATGCTCACAAATAAAACCCCTGAATATTTGAACATTTGCTTATATATAGTAAAGTGGATGTGCTTTGCCAAATTTCCAATTCAAAGCTTGCAAAGTCTCTGGGCCCTGCATTGGATAGGAAACCTTCCTATGTCGGTGATGTGTACAAAGTACAGAAGAATCAACTGTGATTCAATGTGACAGAGCAACCACATGTGCAAAGAAAGATTTGAGAATAAACAGTAGACCTGTCAATGATTCTTCAGGAGGAGGCAGCAGGACAAACCAATAGGATGATGAGGGGTGTTAAATAGGGTGTTTTTCCCCAGAGGATTGGAGGAATCTATGCAAAAGCCAGAGGGTGACCTGCTTTCGTCAAAGGTCACCTTAGCTGCTGTTGAACTTCAACCCTTTTTAAAGTCTTGTCCTTCAGGCCAAGGCTGTCTGTCAGGCACCAGCATTCCCTTACCAGCCATGTCTACTCTGAAAGCAGTCTGTGCTGGGCTCCCCCTCCATCCTCTTCCAGAGAACAGAGGCCGAAAGAGTGGAATCCCTCATGCTCCTGTGAGGAGCCCAAACCTCACGGCAAGTGAAGAAAAGGTAAGAGTTTGTGTAATTCTCTTTGGACATTCTCCCACTTCCCAGTGAAAACTGAGTTAGGGCTACGTCCTAGAGAGAACCAAGCTCTGGGTTCGTAAATCGTTCCCTGGAACTGAGTTGGGTGGATCGCCTCTGAGAGATCTGCGGTGGGTTGTCTCTGAAGCCTTAGATCTGACTCTTGAAGCAGGTCTAGTGGTCTCTGCCCAGCCATATTGATAGCTACCAGCTGTGAATATAAAGCATTGCACAGTGCTATTATATATTTCCCTTAATGCCTTTCTGTTGGTATCAGGTGCTATTGAGTTCAAATGCATATCCCTGCATATCACACCCTTAACAACATGGTCTTGTTCGGGAATCTCCAGTTACTCAGCATTATGAGGACTTCTCCCTTTAAGATTTCTGAGTGTATCTTTCTTTATGTTCTGTTCATTAAAATGTGGGATGTTTCTGCATAGATAATGCCCTTTTGAAATGGGAGTAGCAGTATTAATAGAAATAGTAATGCTTTTCACACGTATCTTTATTCAAGGAACAATGATAGCAAACATAAAGTGAGGATCAGGCCTATATATTCTGTCTATTCTCAATTTGAATTTGCAGTAATAATCTTTTGTTCCAATGTTTTATTTCATGTCCCTTGGTTTCTGTAAATAATATGTAGCCTTTTTATAAGACATGCATAAAGGTTGATATCCATGGGGACCTGTCATTACTCTTGACTTTAATATCCTTGAATAAACCAAACCATATTTGCCAGGATTTTCTTCTATATATTTTCTGAACTCTCTTGCTTCCAAACCCCTTTGTTGATTGAAATATGAGACAGTGGCATCCTTCATCTTCTTTTTCCTCTGAAGCCTAAGCACATTTACACATTGCCCGTGTTTTCACTGCCCATTCCCTTAAAGTCAACTTGGGATCATCTTCATGCCTTTCACCCTCAAAACATGGAGAACAACCTTACAGCAGCAGACAGAAGCCAAGAAACAGGCCGAGATGCCAATGCTAGAGGCAGGTCAGGTGAGAGTTCTTGCAGGTGAAGGAACAGGTTGCCCAAGCATTTTGCTGAATAGGTGCTTTTGTCTGTAAAATGTACCCATTTCAGTACTTCACTGGATGAGCTAGCAGAAATGGTCATGCTTGTTTGCATGTGAAAATCATTTCTCTTCAAGGAGAGATCTGAGGGGTAGAACAAGGTAGGGTTGCTGTGATGTACAAAGCAAGTTTGGGCTAGCATTGGCAATGGGTTTCATTCTGTACCAGGAGTGTCTGCAGCAGGCTAGGGGTCAAAAAACTCATGACAGCATGTTTGAAGCCCCACCTTTTTTTTTTTAACATATGATGCACATTAGGAGGAGTGGGACTTCAATTGCACAGTCACAACCATTATCTTAACTTTTGTACCCCCCTCCCCCACTCTATGGTCACCCTGTTCTGTACTGTATATGAAGGCAGGAGGCTAGCTGGTGGGGTGGAGGAATGTTGCAGGCCTGGGTACACACCTTTGTCTCTTCCAACATTGCCATCCGAAATGATTCCTCTGCCTAATATTATGGATGACCCTCTGTCTCCTGAGTTGATCCAGCATATGCTAAAATATGTCAACAGGGAATGAATTTGCTCGTGCAAAGGAGTTTACCCTGAAAAAGAATATGATCTTACCCATTTTCAGCAACGAGCAGTGGTTCAGCAACTGAAAATTCTGTTTTAAAAAATTGGACACTTCTAACAAAAAGTCAGAAGTCTGGTAACACCTTTTCCGTCTAACAGATTTTATTAAAAGGCATATTAAAAAGTTTCTGTCTTAATAACATTTGTTAGGTGGAAAAGGTGCTACCAGACTCCTCCTTATTTGCCACCATAGACTAACATAGCTGTCCTCTTCTAATAAAAAAGAAAGCCTATTTTGCATCTAGCTCACCTCCTGATAAGGGTAGCTATGTCTCTTCTCAGTCCTGTATTTGTTCCTAAATTTTTAAGACAGTGTAAACTGTGTGAATAAATGTTGTGTCTACTGTGGTGTTATCATATTATTCTTAGGGTTTGGCTTCTAGAGAATCTCTCTTTATTGGCTCATCATAGTAAGCAAACTCTTCTGGCAAAAATGTGAGGTTCCTGTCTTACGGCTATAGATGATTGCTGCTGCTTTGAAATCTGCTGTTTACCTTTTAAGTGACAACAGTTTTTTGGTAAGATCAGCTATTTTGAGCTGGATGTCCTGAGGTATGAGGACTAACTTCTAGAAAACTGGGAACTGCAGTGCCGCCACACTGGAGAATTCCAAAAGGTAGCCCATCACACACACATTCAGATATTTACTTTCTCACATTTACACTGAGAAGGCTCTTTCTACCACAGTAAAGACCATGCTTCTTTGCTTTTAATTGTATTTTTGATTCAGTTAAACAAAGATTGAAGCAATCTTTTTTAAGTCGAGGCCAGCTTGCTAAAAGATGTCTATTGCTCTGATGTCTCAGATTGAGCTTTGATTTAGTATTTCATGTATATATCTTTGAATGCATTTATTTTGATTTCCCTACATTTGATGTTGGAGATCATTCTTTTTCCTTTGTGTACCACTTATTTATTTGTTAGATTTATCTCCCATTTTTTCTCCAGGAGCTAAAGGTGGCTTACTAGGAGATCTCCCTCATTTGATACCCACAATAATACCCTTCTGAGGTATGGTGGATTAAAAGAGTGACTGGCCCAAAATCATCCAGTGAGCTGCTGCTGCTGAGGGTGGGCTTGAAATTGGATCTCCTCTGTCCCAGTCCGTTAATTCACCCTGCACATATCACAGTGACTTTACACAACAGTAGTTCCTGAATTCAATGGGAATGAATGCAATCTCAGTCCCTCTGTCACCCAACAGCCAGGTTGGCTTTAAAAAAAAAAAAAAATTAATCCCCAAGCATATTCACATAGTTCCTTAGTTGTCCTGCAGGTCTCATGGAATCATTTTCATAGGGCAATGCATTTTCAACCCCATGGTATCTGTACTACTCAGTCCAATTCTTTCAGCCCTCCCCTTGGCGAGAATGCTCAGCCACAGGTCTCATTTCTAGAGACTTAAACTCTCTTGGACCTCCTTGCTGGCCCTTCCAGATCCATTCAGCTCTTCATTAGTTCTTCCAGTGACGATCCACTCTCCCAGCCATTGCCCAGCACTGCTCATTCTCCAATCGTCCTGATGGCACATGGGGTGATTTCCTTCCTGGGTAGAACTTGCCCACCGATCTGCCCATCCCTCTTTGAACCCAAGCTGCAGGCAGGCCAGCCAGTGGGACACAGCAGGGAGAAAGTCTTGCTTTGATGGATTATCAAAGATAGGCTCTGAATCTTAGAGGCACAGAGCTATTTCAGCTCCTTCCCACTCCCTTGTAAATGAGAACTAAGGGAAGAAAATTAATTACAGTGGTACCTTGGGTTGTGAACTCCGCCTCGGGTTACGAACTGGATCCGCGGCCATTTTCCCTGCTGCCACGCGGTCGTGGCTTCCTGTGGGGGAGATCGCGG